CTCTTCCCGGGGGGCTTCCTCGAGAGCCGCGAATTCAAGAAGCTACTTCGTCAAATCGACCAGCGCAAACGGCGAGGTAACGCCGACCTTTTTGGGCTTGGCCGCCTCTGCGGCCAGTTCGTCCACGCGGTGCGAACTGCGCGCGGGGCGACGCCGAAACTGCGCCGCGCGCGCGAACATGCGCGAGCGCCTGGGCCAACATTCCGCGGGCAGTCCTTTCGCGCTGATGTCAGACACCACGCTGGCGAACTCGAGGTGCGTCGCCTGCGCGGCGCCGGAACCGCCGCGCGCGCGTGCAACCCCGGCGGGCGCGGCACCTCGTCGGGCTTCTTTCCCGAGATCAGCGCTTTAAGCACCGCCCTTGGGTCAGCGACCCCTTGCTGCGCCGCGCCTTCCTCGGCGGCAGCGGCGAGAACCCTGCGCGCGCGGGCTTTTTGGCCAGCGTCAAGGCCTGTCTCTCCCGCAGGGAACACGAAATGCGGGCATCGGCGAGCTCGCGCCAGTTCCGCGCGCCAGCTGCATGCAGCGCCTCAGCAATCTTGGTGTTCCAGGCGGGATCACGACCATCGGCGCCCTCAACCTTGCGGAGCTTCGGCCAACGCGGTCTCCGCGGCCTCGTCCGTTATTGCAACGATAAAATCAAGCGATGCGATATTCGCGCGCGCCCTGGCGCCGTCGCCCGCGGGCGCACAAAACCCTCGTTTCGCAGCTCTTCTGCGCGGCGCGCCGGGTGACGCGCAAAAGCCAGTCGGGCGGGGCAAGCCACGCATGGGCTGCTTGGCACAAGGTTGGCCGCACGTTGGCCACCGAGCAAAGGCCCCCGGGTCTGCTGGCGATGGCGAGCCACGCGTGGGCTGCTTTGTTAACTCTGGCCACTCGTGGGCCGCCGCGCAAAGACCCCTGGGTCTGCTGGCGCAGGCAAGCCAAGCATGGGCTGCTTTGTTCACGATTGGCCACTCATGGGCCGCCGAGCAAGGACCCCCAGGTCTGCTGGCAATGGCGAGCCACGCATGGGCTGCTTTGTGGCCTGACAAAACGCAGCACGCGGCCTCGCATGCGCAGCGTGCGCGCCGCGGGCCTCGCGGGGCCCCCTCCCCAGAGAGGCGAACCCACAGCGCGCGCAACCGCGCGCGCGGACGGGCCCCTCGAGGCCGCCCCGGCGCCACCCGCATAGCGGTGCGGCGGCCCAGCGCAGCGGGACAAATGCCCGCCAGCTTCACAGCATCGGCCAACAGGCCAGCGGCCGCACATGGGCGGACCGCGGACAAGAGAATGCAGGAGCGCAGAAGCGGCAGCCGCACAGGCATAGCAGCACCAGCATCCCTCCCCCACCCACGGCCCTGCACCCCGACCCTCCCCCCGTCCCGAGGACGAGGAAAACGCAGAGGCGGCAGGGCAGACGCAGGAGCGGCATTCGTGCAAGCCCACAAACGCAGCGACAGTGCGAGCATTGTCCCCGAGTTTGTGGGCTCATAAAAAACTCTCTAGACCACCTTGACCCACAGGCTGGTGGACTCTCGCACCTTCAGCTTTCCCATCTCACTCCTAGGTCACGCCGGTCTGGCACGGCCTGAATCGTATCGGGATCGGATTTGGGTCGAATCGGGATCGGATTTGGATCGGGCCGGTCTGGGATTGGATCAGGATCGTATCGGGTCGGACCTCGATCGGGTCGGGTTCGCATCGGGGTCGTGGTTGACTTGGATCGGATCGGGGTCGGATCGGGATTGGTATCGGGACAGGGCGTGGGGCTCGGATCGAGATCGGGATCGGTCTGGATCGGATCGGGGTCGGGTTGGAATCGGATCGTGATCGGATCGGGATCGAATCGGAGGTGGGTCGGATCGGGGTGCGATCGGGATCTGGTCGGGATCGGATCGGGATCGGATCGTAACAGGATCGGGATCGGGATTGAGGTTGGATCGGGGTCGGATCGGGGTCGGGACCGGGGTTGGATCGGGTTCGGATCGGGATCGGGGTCGGATTCGGGTCAGATCGGGATCGGATCTGGGTCAGATCGGGGCGGGGATCGGGATCGGATCGGGGTCGGATCGGGGTCGGACCAGGGTCGTATTGGGGTCGGGCCAGGGTCGCATCACGATCGGATTGGATCGTATCGGGATCGGGGTCGGGATTGGGTCGGGATTGGATCGGGATCGGGATCGGGTCGGATCGAGACTGCGATCGGATCGGGATCGGATCGGGCCCACATTCGCATCCGGCCGGATTCGGGATCTTGGATCGGTTTCGGGGTTGGGATCGGGCCCAGGATCGGATCGGGATCGGATCGGGGCCGGGTCTGGGATCGGATCGCGGCGGCGTCGGGGTCAGCTCGGGGTCGGGCCGGGTCGGGGTCGGATCGGGATCGGATCGGGTCGGGGTCGAGATCGGGATCGGGGTCGGATCGGGGTCGGGGCCAGGATCGGACCGGGATCGCAGGTGGTTGGGTCGGTTCCGTAACGGGATCGGATCGGGGTCGCATCGGGGTCGTGATCGGGTCGGGACCGAATCGGGATCGCATCGGGGTCGGATCGGGATGGGATCGGGATCGGGGTCGGGTCGGATCGGGATCGGATCGGGGTCGGATCGAAATCGGGATCGGGATCTGGATCGGGATCGGATCGGGGTTGTTGGATCGGGATCGGATCGGGGTCTTGTTGCGGGAGCGGGGCCGTGATCGTGGCCAGGATCGGGATCGGGATGGGGTCAGGGTTGGGATTGGGATCGGATCGGAATCGTAGCAGGATCGGGATCGGACAGGGATCAGACCATGATCGGACTGGGGTCTGGCCAGGATCGGAGCGGGATCGAACCTCGGTCGGATCGGGATCGCATCCGGATTGGGATCGGATCGGGGTCGGGACCGGGATCGAATCAGGATCGGATTCTGGTCAGGTCAGTGTGGATGGGTCGGATGGGGATCGGATCGGGGAAGGCATCGGCTCGGAATCGCGCCGAGATCTTGTCGGGACCGAGATCGGATCGGGATCAGATCGCGCTCGGGATCGGATCGGGATCGGGATCGTGCCCAGGATCGGATTGGGATCGGATCGGGGTCGGGATCCGGGATCGGGATCGGGGCCGGGATCGGATCGGGGTCAGGAAAAGGGGATCGAGATCGGGATCGTATCGGGATCGGGACGGGGATCCCATCGGGATCGTGGCCGAATCAAGTTCGTTTCGGATCGTATCGGGATCGGATCGGAATCGGGTCGGATCGGGGTCAGGACCAGGGTCGGGCCGGGATCGGATTTGGGTCGGTGTCGGATCGGGATCGGGTCGGGGTCGGATAGGGATCGGGATCGGATATTGATCGTATCAATCGGGATCGGGACCAGGATTGGATTGGGATGGGGTCGGGATTTGGATCGGGATCGGGTTTGGGGTCGGGACTAGGATCGTATCGGGATCGGACCGGGATCGACCAGGATCGGGACGTATCGGTATCGGGTCGGGATCGCAGCAGTATCGGACAGGGTCGGGGTCGGGATTGGGTCGGGGTCGGGATCGGGTCGGCATTTGGATCTGGTCCCGCAGGTCCCACAGGCGTCGCACGTCCCACCAGTCCTACAGGACCACAGGTCCCACATGTGCCACAGGTCCCACAGGTCCCGCAGGTTCCATAGGTCAGAGCCCCGAATCATCAGGGGTAACTCGGGTCAGGGCTAACTCGGGTTCGTTTTTCGGGAGTCCGAACCCGAGTTATCCCGGACCCGAGTTACCCCGGATAACTCGGGCGTCCAGAGCCCCGAATCATCAGGGGTAACTCGGGTCAGGGGTAACTCGGGTTCCTTTTTCGGGAATCCAAACCCGAGTTACCCCGGACCCGAGTTACCCCGGATAACTCGGGCGCCCAAATAGGTCCCACATGTCCCACACCACAGGTCACATAGGTCTAACAGGTGTCGCAGGTTTCACAGGTCCCACGCAGGTACTCCAGGTCCCACAGGTCCCACAGGTTCCACAGGTCCCAGCGGTCTCAGGTCTCCGAGGCTCCACAGGTCCCACAGGCTGCAGAGGTTCCCAATGTCCCACAGGCCCCACAGGTCCCGCAGGCCCCAGAGGTCGCACAAGTCAGCAGTTCCCACCTGCCCAACAGGATCCACAGGCCCCGCAGGTCCCACAGGTCACGCATGTGACCTTGGCTGCTATCAGGGTGCTTTGCCAGGGTAATTTTGCCCCTCTTCACGTTTTGGCACTTCTCGGGCTTAGAGGACCTTTGAATGATTCTGAAGGCCTACGGGCCTACGGGGACCCACAGATGCATCCGGCTTCCTTTGGGTCGTCTTCGTCGCCGCCGCCGCCGCATCCGCCGCCGCTGCCATCGTCTTCGTCGTCGTCGTCGTCGACGTCGTCGCCGCCGCCACCGTCGTCGTCGGCGTCGCCGCCGTCGTCGTCATCGTCGTCGTCGTCCGATCAGACTCAACTCAAAGTCGGTCCCTGGACTCCTCTCGGGGCCTGTCCTGGCTAGTTCCCCGGCCACGTCCAGGCGTGTCGACGAGGTCCTTCAGAAGTGCCCCAACCCCCACTAGCTGAAGATGTCGTCGTCGACGTCGTCGTGGTCCTCGTGCTGGCCGCCGCCGCCGCCGTTGCCGTCGTCGTCGTCGTCGTCGTGGATCCCGGACCCCTCGCTCCCAGAGCTCGTGGGGACCATTTCTCCAGGCCGCGCCCGGCGTCCCACACCCTCCGAACCGACGACGCCGTGCTCGTCGTCGCCGCCGTCTCCGTGGCCGTCTCCCGTCGCCCTCGCCGCCGCCGCCGCCGCCGCCGCCGTCGTCGTCGTCGTCGTCGCCGTCGTCGTCGTCGTTGTCGTCGTCGTCGTCGTCGTCGTCGTCGTCGTCGTCGTCGTCGCCGCCGCCGCCGCCGCCGCCGCCGCCGCCGCCGCCGCCGTCTCCCGTCGTCGCCGTCGCCGCCGTCATCGTCGTCGTCGTCGTCGTCGTCGCCGCCGTGCTGACGTCTTGCGTGAGCGCACCTGGGCCCGGCTCCCCCCCCGCCCCGAGGCAGCACCCCGACCTGTCGTGCTCGGGGTCCGCCTCCACCGCCGGCGCGGTGCTGGCCGAGTCCATGGGCCTCGGGCCCCTTCCCGAGCCCATCTCCGTGGGACCGTGGGGGGTTGGCGCAAGAGGGACGGCAGTGACGATGACGTGGGCGAGGACGATGATGAGGATGAAGATGATGATGATGATGATGAGGAGGAGGAGGCGAAGGAAGACGAACATGATGGTGATGCTGCTGATGATGAAGATGCTGCTGATGATGATGATGAAGATGGCGACGATGATGATGCTGATGATGATGCTGATGATAATGATGATGCTGATGATGATGCCGCTGGTGCTGATGCTGATGATGCCGATGTTGCTGATGATGCCGATGATGGTGGTTGTGATGATGGCGATGATGGAGGTGGTGGTGGTGACGATGCTGATGATGCTGATGATGACGATGATGATGATGAGGATGATGATGACGACGATAACGATGATGATGATGATGATGATGATGATGATGATGATGATGATGATGATGATGATGATGATGATGATGATGATGATGATGATGATTATGATGATGATGATGATGATGATGATGATGATGATCAGGATGATAAGGATGATGATGATGATGATGCTGATGCTGATGCTGATGCTGATGATGATGATGATGGTGATGGTGATGGTGATGGTGGTGATGATGATGATGATGATGTTCATGATGATGATGATGATGATGATGATGATGATGATGATGATGATGATGATGATGATGATGATGATGATGTTGATGGTGGTGATGCTGGTGGTGGTGCCGTTGGTCATGGTGATGGCGATGATGTTGATTACGGTAATGTTGTTGACTATGCTTGTTGTCATGATGATGGGAGGATGAGGAAAATGATGGCCGTCGCTCGTTTGAGGGGGTGGGTTAGCTCTCCTTTGACTACTCTGCCGCTGCTGTTACCTCCTGCGGCTGGGGGGTGGGCCTCCTGCTCCGCCAGCTCTTGGGCCTGGCGCTGTAGGCTTAAGTCACTGATGCCAGACGGATGGGTAGACGCAGACGAGATTGCCTGTGCCCCATCATCATGCAACCACCTGCACGACATTGCCTGTCTTCAAGACTACTACGCTGGCGAGCAGACATGCCTACTGGATCACATCTCCAATGGACACCGCAAGGATATAATGCAGAATCGGACTATACGTGACGAAGAGGACGCTTCTGGTGACAGCGATAGATACCGAGTTCCAGTTCTACCGAACGCACCCTCCCTCCGCAGCATCTTTCACGGACAAGCTGGAGGTATTTGTTGCCGGGGCAGAGGCAGCGACCGAAATTCATGGTGTCGCCACATTATCCATTCAATGCAATTTCAGCTTCTTGACCCACGAATCACCAGCGCCATCTTTTCAGTCTCGAGGAGATGATCGTCGATGCCATGAGCATACGGCGGGCGAAGCATGGAGCACTACTGACCGAGGGGCGCCATGGCATTATTCCAGCAAAGTGCTCGTGGCCGAGGACTGCCCTGTGGCTCTAGGCAGTGGTGACCTCAAGGCAGCCTCGGAGGCCGTCCCCCCCCGCTCAGCTGCCTCTCCACACCCGGCGACTGCAACACCTCATATTCGTGCTCGCGTGCGCGGGTAAACCGAGGGACTTCCGGTTCCTGCGCTCGCGAGCACAACCACGGCGGGACGCTGCCGGGTGTGCGCGGCCCATGGCGTGGACGGCCCCGCCCGTCCGGGCGTGGACGTCTGCGCGGCGCACCCGCATGCCCCAGCCGCTGCGGCCGGCGACTCCAGCATGGACGACAGTTCTGACCTCACCGCCGGGCCACTGCCGCCTGGCAGCTAGCTGGAGCCGGCGCGCCGCTGGGACTTGTCTCCCCCGCCGCTGCCGGAGCGCCGGGCGCGGCGCCGGCGGCCGCAGGACGGGTCCCGGGCAGCTCTTACTCCGATCAGGAGCTCTGCGAGCTGGGTGAGGAGGAGCTTCTGAAGCACGCACACGTCATCAGCGCGCTCGCTGCCGTGGGTCCGGTGCCGCCGGCCAGCTTCGCTCGCTCCTCGTTGTCCTCATGGGCCCAGCTTCGCACTCTCGTTGAGTCCCTCGCCTTCCGCTTCGACCTCACCGATCCCTGGGCGCAGCTTGGCTTGCACCCGCTGGAGGGCCCCCCCCCTGACGCAGCATGCATAGAGAGGCGGTGGGGGCGCGCCCGGTTGCTTCTATCATGCTCTTCGGGCGCTAGCTGGTGCGAGGAAGATTGGGAGGCTGCCGATGCTGCATATGTTGCCTTGGAACGGGCGTTCACCATGTGTCTCGAAGGACTTCCACGTGCACTGGCCCTCCGTCGTCGAGAACGCGGTGATCCCCTACCGCGTTGGCATGAGCTGGGCTCGACGGCAGTCGAGTTTCTCTTGAACACCCCAGCGTCCGTGGGGGAGGTCGTGGCCACGCAACTCTCCGGGATATTGCCGCTCCCGCAGGCTTTGCGGGCATCTCAGCGTCTACTAGCCCCGGCTGCTGCACGCTCTCTCTGCCAGCTCGCGGCCGAGGGCAAGGACTTCTTCCACCTGCTGGGTTCTGGTGGCGTCGTGATGTGGGCTCCTACCGACTCTAGAGGGCAACCTGACTCTGCAGCCTTGGGACGCTTGCTTTCTGGGTTCATGAGGCGTGCTGCCGCAGATCCACAGCCTCGCCATCTTCGCCTCATCGCCCCTTTGGAGGTCTTCCCGGGCTGCACGACCGCCAGCATGATCAAGGACTTGTTCTGGCACCCAGTGATGGGCGAGCGATGGGCATCGCTTGTGCGGGAGCAGGCTTTCATCCCCCAGGAGCTGCAAATCGTTACCTCTGGACACGGGGGGCCTGTGAACACTAACAAGGGCCTGCCGATCGCCTCGGTATCCCCATCGTTGCCCATGCCGATCCCGAAGGTCCTCTCGGTCGCCGAGCCGCTCTTCTCCGCAGCTATCGGCCCCTCCTCCTTGGTGGACTGCCCCGCGGTCACGGTCCCTGCAGCAGTGGCGGCCGTGGAGACTGCCGGCGCGCCCCTCCGTGTGCAGGTCGGGCCGCTGGGCCGCAGCCCTGCTGGCACGGTCGATCTGCCGAGGGCCCGTTTTGAAGTTCTCCTCCTCCTCCTCCTCCTCCTCCTGCTCCTCCTCCTCCTCCTCCTGCTCCTCCTCCTCCCCCTCCTCCTCCTCCTCCTCCTCCTGCTACTTCTCCTCCTCCTCCTCCTCCTCCTGCTCCTCCTCCTCCTCCTCCTCCTCCTCCTCCTCGCGTTGCTCATTCGACATCTGCGGCGTTCTCACCTCCCTGCAGGTTCGGTGGTGGGCTCTAGGTAGTTGTTCTCTGACAAGAGTGCGCGGTTGGTCGAGCTCACTTCGCCGGCCGCTTTCCACGCTGTTTGGCACCTCTGCGAGGAGGCCGTCTACATCAAGGCCGAGATGGTGACAATCCGCACCGCCGTCGACACAGAGCAATGGCGGGAAGTGATGAACCAGACGATCACGGACGACGCCGCCAGCGCCATCTTGAGGGTCCGTTATCGCCCTTCTCGGCGGGGCGGCCGGCTGTGGGCTTCGCCCTCCACTACTCCTCACCAGCTCGCGGCCCTCTGCCGCAATGGCGCCAGGTCGAGCCAGCAGCCCAGTGGGCCTACAGTCTCCACGTACACCTTAGGCGATGCTTAAGAAAACCTAAAGTTTCGGCCAGAGTGTCGATTATTCTTAATTTTTGAATGTAAATCCCAAGATTTTGATAGAAGTTCTGGGTTTTTAGTCAATTTCTGAGACTATGAATTTCTTAACCCATGATTTCTTAAGCATTTCGCAGGGTGTACGTTGACAGTCAATGGCTCCCTTGGGCACGATCCAGCTCGTATCATCAGGGGTCTCATGGCGGTGATTCGGGACCGCTCGGGCGTGAACTTGAGGGAGCAGAGCGCGGGAGGCGAGCTGATCAACAGCTGGCGCCGGGTGGCGGACGTCGACCCCTCTGCGCACCCAGGCCGGGTTCGATTGTATCTCGCTTCATTAAACGACGCCCAGGCGGTCTTTGATGATGTCAACGGTCGCGCCGTGCAGCTGGGTACTGATCTGGTCAGCATCAGCATCACCAGCGACGATATCGAGACGCAGCAGGGAAACGTCCATCGGGGGCGGGGGCGCCGGAGCCCCTCTCCCCGGGGAGCGATGCCCGGCTTGAGCCCAACGGAGACGCCAGTTGAGGTCTACACCATGGCCGGCTCCCGGTTCTGGATGTTGGATCTCGTTTTGCATGCTCGTCGCATTGACCGTGGCGACGCTCCTCTTTGCGTTCATCCTCTTTCTCCTCATTTGCCACGTGCTCGTGCTGCTCATCTCCGCGCCTGTGCCGATGCAGGCGCTGACGCGCACGGCGGACTCGAGGCCGACGTGTCCTCGGCGACGCAGCTGCCCTCGCTGCCTCCTGCGCGTCCTGCGCCGCGCCTCCGTGGTCGGCGAGTGCCCCGCCCCCCGCCGCCGCCGCCAGGACAGGCGAGGCTACCTGGCAGCGGGGGCCTTCCCAGCGGCGACGCACGCCCCGCCGAGCATGGGCTGGTGATGGCCCCCTTCCGCGGAGAGCTCCAGGGCGCTGCCTGGAACGCCCAGGCCCTCTTCGCTCGGAAGCGGCCCCGCCACATGGCCAAGGACCACTGCGTACGACGGCCTCTCCGCGATCGGGACTTTGTGATGCTGTCCGAGACCCATGGCCTGGAGGGCGAGGGATTGGCGTGGGGTTGCCCAGGAGACAGCCGGGCATGGTTCTCCCCAGGCATTTCGCGCAGAGCCGGAATCGGCATCGTGGTCAAGTCAAGTTTCCTCCAGCAGTTCGACTCGGAGCTGACGTCGTGGGAGGAGCTGGTCCCCGGGAGGGCTGGCGTGCTTCGTCTGGCAGGCCCGCGAGGCGCGTTGGATTTGTATTCCGTGTACTTCACTGCCGGGTCGCACGCCTCAGGCGTCGTGCAGCCCCGCGGCGCCACCGCCCTGGACGTCTCCGAAGCGCAGGCTCGCCAGCAGCGGGAGGCCATGCGACGTCGCCTGGCGGCGGCCATGTCCCCATCGAGCTCGGTGTTGTCGATCGTCG